CTATAAATAAGCTTGGCCAGTAACCAAATTGAGTGTCAACTCAAATTAATGTTGATTAAAACTAAATAAAATGAAAGCAGTCTCTTACTTTCACTGGCTAACTTCATACCTACATAACACATGTGGCCAGTGGACCCCATGGTGAATTTCACAGACCTAAATCACAAATACACTATTGGTTATTTCTCTCTCTGGTGAGCCTTGTTTCCCAAGTTCACTATTAAATTACAGGGTCACATAAACTGAATGGCTTGGCTCACATCACACAACTTGGATACTGTGATGCTACATCTGAAAGCATGCATATACGTATGGCTAAAACATCAAGCTTTGCCTTCTAACCTTTGTGCTTTTTACAGTTTTTATAAAAGAGTAGTGATTAATATGCAATAAGGCATACACTCTTTGGTATATGGTTCTGTGGATTTTGATAGGTGCATGCAGTTGTATAACTAAGTTTACACTCAAGATGTCAAAGGAATCCATTCCCCAGAGTCCTCACTTTCATGTCCTTTGGCGTGTACTCAACTCTTGTATCAACCTTTATTACTGAGAAACATCCGCTTGGCTTTTCCTAGGCTCCAGTTTTGCTATTTGTAGAGTGACTCTTAGTGGAATAAGATAAGATGTAAGCTTTGGAGTCTAGCCTTCTCTGCCCTAGAAAAGTGCATCTGAGAGTCATCTGGTGCATAGCATGCAGTGTGAATTGTATCAGCGCGTGTTCATTTTTATTGCTGAGTAGCATTCCATTCTGTGAGTATGCTGTAGTTATTCTTCCTTAGTTGGAGAGCAGTTAGGTTGCTTTCAGTTGTGTATGACTGTGATTCAGAAATCTGTAAATAGTTACAGAAACATTACCTTTCCCTTAAAGGTAGGATTGCCAAATTAAATATAAATATATGTTTATGAAGCCATCAATGTGATTTAAAGTGGCAGTTCATCTTACGAGTAAGAGTATTGTCATTGTTTCACACATTCCTCAATACTTGGTATTATCAGGTGTGTGCATGTGTGTGTGTGTGTGTGTTTGTGTGTGTGTGTGTGTATATGCATGTGTGTACATACCCATGTGCTCATATGTGTATAACCATTCTGATTACAGTCTGGGTGCTCTATCATATGTGGTTCATTTCTCACTTCTCTAGTGACTCTGCTGAATTCTCTATATATTGACACATACATTATATCTCTTCGAGTGATCCCCCATGTCCAAATTCTCTGTCTATTATTTCTTATTTCTTTGCCTTACTTGTCTCTAGTGCCTGTACTCCATTCTATCTGCTCTTATAACCTTCAGTGACCATTCTTAGTCCAGATGGATGGCTGCTTATAAACTCCACAGGGACTTTCCCTCTGCAATAACCTTGGTCAGACCCTTCCTATAGCTCTGATGCTGGGGACAGCCCACGGCAGATCAGACTAATTGCTTTCTCTCAGCAGATCCCTGGTTTTCTTTTGCTGAGGTCCCAGAGACATGGTTAACAGATGACCATGCCACCTGGACACCATGATCTGCCAAGGGGCCTGCAGTCATGTCCCTCTGCACTTCAATCTGATTCCCAGAGGGAATTGTCAGCCTGATACTATTGCATTATCTTTTCCTGGAGTGATGAAAGCAATTTTTTTTCACCTCAGTTAGGGCATCAAAAATAAGAGTCCATCAAAGTCCAACTTGGAGAACCTGTGAGTTTATAACATTGTGAAAGTTTGCCTCCAGGAGCATGAATGATCCCTCAAACAGCTGTCTCACCAGAAAGCTCTACTCCATCATAAATGATGGCCTCATGCAAAGAGCATCATGGAGTCAACCTTTCACTTAACCTTCTACTTCCTAAGTACTGTAGTGTTTTTTAAGATCACTTGTGCATATGGGAAGGCAGAAGGTGATGATGACTAAGATATCAGATCAGAGTTTTGTGAGTCTGTCTCCCTCCTCCTCCTTCCAGGATTTGTCAGTAGTTTGCTGTTAACATTACAATTGTTGTGTTGGTCTCAATTAGTTGCCATGGATACCTTTACTCTAAGATGGTGATCATGTTATACACAAAGAATAAAGCCACGTTGCAACAGGCACTTGTACCCACGGACACCATCACATGCTTCTCACTGGACTTTCAGGAACAACAGCAACAGGCACACTAATGTTTTCACCCAGCAATGTGATAAAGAATATTTAGAGTTAATAGAATCTTAAGTGCCTCCTCCTCAGATGAAGACCAAAACCACATATCTCATGTTTTACTTCTGTTACACCTCATGTGGCTGAGGCATGCTGTTAGAAAAATGTCCACATGTATGTCTCCAAACACATAGATTTGGACATGACTATTAGGATCTGGAATAAATATATTTCTAACTTGAGTTTCAACTAAACAGTGAAAGTTTTTCTTTCCTTCTTCTTCCTCCCTCCCTCCCTCCCTCCCTCCCTCCCTCCCTCCCTCCCTCCCTCTTTCCTTCCTTCCTTCCTTCCTTCC